AAAAAAAAAAAAATCAAATAATGTTTTTTAAAAAAAAGAAGAAATTAAGACTTACCTGGAACTGGCACCCTGTCCCCTGCCCATGTCCTAAAGCCGGGTGGATGGGAGGCCTCGGCCTTCATGCTAGTCTACCGCAAGACCCCTCCTTCCCCTGCACAGTCCCTCTCAAAACCCTGCCCTCTGGTCCCCACCTCCCCAACCCCACTCGCTCACCTCAGGAGCCCCCAGCCCCTTCCAGGTCCTGCTCTTCCCGGTGACCCCAAGATTGGGCACTGAAGCCGTATACCCCAGAGCTGCCTGGGCTCCCATTCTGGTGTATGAAGGCCTCCCGTTTCCCTGTTTTCAGTGTGTCCCCAACTGCCGGGGGATAAGGTGCCAGCAGGCCCACCCCCTCATGGTCACGAGGGCTCAGTGCTGTGTGAAGAGCTAGCTGTGAGTGGTCCCGAGTGCTCCCCCAGGGGCCTGGGGGTGTCCAGGACTGTATCGGAATTGTCTGTCTGTCTGTCTGTCTGTCTGCTGCTGAGAGAGACCTTGGGGAACAGCCAGCTAGCATTCCTTACCATATTATCCCTGTAGACAGCAAGGAGCCGGAGATGAGGGTAAACAGCAGAGTCCCTAAGGGGATGGGGGGGCTTCTCCAGGGGACCGCTCAGTGCTGGAACCTTCCGGGGACTCCCACTGGGGGAGGAGCTGTGGGCCGTGGCTTTCCCTTTCACAGCTTAGGTCCTCGGATGGTTTGCAATCACCTATCTCAAAACCAAGATGGTTTTCCTCTCGGTTTTATTTTTTATATTTATTTATTTATTCATTCATTCTTTGGAGAAGTTTTTGCTATAGGGCGCAGGCGCTAACCAGACAGACAGAGAGAGAGACAGACAGAAAGCAAGAAATCACCCCCCAGGAGGGATGGCCACACCGCAATCCCTTCTCCTCCATTCTCCTCTCGGGATCTTGGGCACGCACGCACACGCGCCCGGTGTGAGTTTAAGCCATCAGGTCTGGGACTCGAACCGCGGTCGACTACATGGGAGTCCAGCGACATAGCCATGACGCCAACTGCTGGTCCCTCTTCTCGGTTTTAAATGCATCTGAGGGCCAGCCGGTGGCGGAGTGGTTAAGGTGGCTGGATCCCACAGGGTCGACTTCGCAGTTCCAAACCGGGCAGCTCGAAAGGCCCACCAGGCCCACGTGCATGCGTGCCCAAAATCCTGAGCGGAGAATGGGAGAGAAGGGATTGTGGCATGGCCATTCCCCTGGGGGGTGTCTTCTCAGTTCAGTTCCCTCTCATCTCTGTGTCGGTCTGTCTCTCTTTCTCTGGGTACTTATATGTACCCTATAGCAAACTAAAACATATTTATTCTTTTTTTGTTTTTGTTTTTTTAATTCCCAGGGACAGAACGCCTCCACCCAATGGGGCGTAGTCACTGTAATCCTTTTCCCTCCATTTCTCCATCCCGTTGGGATTTGGGGCATGCACATACACACACCTGGCATATTTTTCAAGGCAACAGGGCCAAGATTCAAACTGTGCTCTGCCACGTGGGATCCATCTCCCTTAACCACTAGGCTACAGGGCCTCCCATTCCTCCCCCACTCCTAATTGTGTGGGGTTTTTTTTTAATAATTTTTAAAAATTTACTTCTCTTTATTTATTTATTTATTTATTTTAATTTGACCAGAGAGATACAAAGAGAGAGAGAGAAAGTGAGAAAGCAAGCCACCAGGTCCGGGACTCGAACCGTGGTCGGCCATGTGGGAGTGTCCAGCACCTTAACCACCACCCTTACCCGCCCCGCCCCCGGCTGGTTCCCCCAAATTGTTTTTTTAAAATTTTTGGTTTTTTTTTTTTTTTTTTTTAAGAGCTTTTTGCCTTAAGGTTTGTGCATTCACCAGAGAGACAGACAGTGAGAGGGAAAGTGAGAAATCACCCCCCAGGGGAGATGGCCACATTGTAATCCCTTCTCCTCCATTCTCCTCCTGGGATCTTGGGCATGCGCACACATACCCGGTGTGAGTTTCAACCCACGGGTCTGGGACGTGGGAGTCCAGCGACGTAACCACCACGCCATCTGCTGCACACCCCCCTCCAATTCCTTTTCATTGAACTTTTCAGAAAAATCCTCCAAGTATTAGAAACTCCTTGACCCCCTGGTAGGGGAAAAGCCAGGCTTTTGCAGACGCACGTTCACAGGCAGGACGTCCCCTTAGCCTGTCTCCGGGCTGTCCAGAGCCAGGTTGAGCCATGCCTCTGATGACCCTGGGGTTCTCTCTGTCCCTTTGGGCGTCAAAGCTGTGTCTGATACAGACGTGGGGGCAAGGGGACGGTTGGGTTCCGAGCCCAAGAGGTGGCAGGTTAAATCCAGGTGCATCCATGCACTTTGCAGACGCCAGGGCGGGTCAGGACTTGGGGGCCTGTGTGCCCCGCTGGTCCCTGAGCCGCGTGCTCAGACCCCAAGCCACGCAGCCCCAGCCTTGCAACTCCCTGCACCGCGCTCCGCCCAGACCCCATAACCCACCCTGCGTTTCTCCTTTGCAGTTTGGGAATGAGGAGCAGCAGCTGGCCTGGGCCAAGCGGGAGAGCGAGAAGGCGGAGCAGGAGAGGCTGGCGCGGCTGCGGCGGCAGGAGCAGGAGGACCTGGAACTGGCCATCGCGCTCAGCAAGGCCGACATGCCGGCCGCGTAGACGCGGCGCCCCCGGCAGGCAGGATGGCGGAGGAGCAAAGGCAGGCATCTCTATATTACTCAACTCCCCCCCCCCCACACCAACACACAAAGCGTCCCCGT